TCAATGGTAGATGAACACAGAAAAATAATAACAGAGGAAGAGAGTGGGTTCCTACGCAGCATAGGATTAACTATGATCAAAAGTTTGGTCCTTGGATGAATGATATTTTTTATGGTGTGGTGAAAAGTTTGCATCAACACTGAAAAATGAAAACATAGGGAAGTAGATACTTTGACGAGGGAGAAATCAAATTATAAAGAATATAACACAGACATGTAATACTAGAGTCCAATTTCAAATGTGCAGCCAGAAAAAATAGAGAGTATGGCAGGTAGTATACTTCACACCCACTGATATTTTAGGTATATTACTATACCAACAAAAATAAATCTTTTAAAATTTGAATTTGACAATTTTTTGAAAACCATGCGAAAATAAAATAATCCAAAATTTTTACTTACGATGTTTTTACTTGAATTTGTATCGACCTCTCGGTCATACCTCCTGATCCTCTTTATTTGACAACTTGGACTTCATATAGACCTCTCAGTTACATATCTCAATCATATTTATTTGATGACTCAGACATCATATTAAGGACAGTCGCTCGATTATCTCCTGGTCATCTTTATTTGATGACTATGATTACATATCATGTCTAGCTACTCACATATGAAGACCGGTCTCGATCACCATCCACTCAGCAGATGTCGACCGTTGCAGCTCCACGCCTCGGCCAAAGAGCTCACCCTTTTTGTTTCATTTTGGGGGCATCTAGGGTACTCTTTTCCCCTCATTAGGATTTTCTATCTCCACGAGGGTTTTTCTCATGAGGTTTTTAACGAGACATCTCCCCACTGTGGACAAAACGTGTCGACCCTGGGCCCCTATTGGGCTCATCACGAGACATGCACAACTCTACTCTTCTTCACCTCACCACACTCGCCTCAAGGAGCGGGGGGCAGAAGAGCGGGGGCTTAACACCTCCGTTAATCGGAGAAGCATAATTTCAATTTTTTCACAAGAAATGTCACTTGCATCGACCTCACTATCACATGGAAGATCAGCACATATATCTACTCCCTTTCGCCTCGAGTACTCTTGGCTCAGTGAGTGGGGGACTCCTGATAGAGTTTATAGACTCGAACCCTCGGACTCATAACTATTGGGCCTGAACAGCGACCCACACACGCTCACCAAACATCATTTACACTACTATACATTATTATTACTCGAGTATCCTAGATTAGTTTTTTATATTATTAGTTCTTTTATGTAATCGGGTCTGTCACACCCATATTAGAGGCCCAACTCCCGTCTTTCCTATATATACCCCCTTGTAAACCTAATTCACACAATCACACCATCGAAATGATGCACACTCATCTCCTTCTCCATTTGCTCTTTATCACAACTTTCCATTAATTATATGTTTGGATACCCTATCATCTAGCAGCTAGGAAATAGACGTACACATAAAAATGAAGATACTCATTTTACAAAACTTTTTTCATGATTGAAGTCAAAGAAAAGATTAAAAGAAAAGAAGAAAAGATAGAAGAAGATGAGGCCAGAGTTTCTCATCGCGTCTTCTCTCTCTTCCTACAGTTCTAGAAACTATTCGCTATATTCCTTGCATCTAATCAAAATCTTATACAATGGCAATATAAACATTTGTTTATGCAACTGCTACATTAATACATAGTAACAATTAATATGCCATCTTGCCTGAAAACCGAAAAGGGGGTTCTTGACAGAGTTGATATTACTCATGCAAGGAAATTCTATCTTGAAGATTTTAGTAGTCTGGATATTCATGTTTGGAATTCGAGTTGCAACACTATGTTCATGATGTTATTCATGATACAAAGTTTTAATTATCTACACTTGTTGAATTATGTGAGGAGTTAATTAAGAGAAGAAGATATAATTCATATGTTATGAGGAGCAGATTGATTCGCCTTGTAATGATCTTAATTGTTGCTACTCAACAACAAAACGATCATTTTCTACATGAAACTTCTAGAGAAAACACTCCGCAACAAAATGGGGATGACTTTCTCACATATTGCATGATACTTTATATTGAAAGAGTCCTTACTCTCAGTATGAGATGTAGACTTGTCAAAAAACTCTATTGTTGACAAGTTTTTTGTTTCAAAGTCTCGTCGAGGATAAATTTAGTGGAGAACTCTTGTATTTGATTTTCTACTTATCTTGAAAATTTTCATTGTATTATCACTTAAGTGTTTCAGCCCGCCCCAACATGAAATCCTGGATCTGCCCATGTCTGTGAAGCAATTAGGTAAATGCTTAAATGCACTATTATTTTGATAAATCTTAATGCCCGATCACAAAGAAAAATTTGACAAAATTGTGGCAAGGAGATGGTTTATTAATCATTTTATTTTTGGATAAAAGGTTAATTTATTAAATAACCCCAAAAATAATATACAATCATCACAACTATAAAGCTAGTTAAAATAGTGTTCAACCATTCTAACTCCCTCCCATCCACCCCTTGTGAGAGGTAGATGGGAGAGATAATTTTTTTGCGAAAGTCCAAAATAGTACAGAATAGGCTTCGACTCATATCAAAATCAAGTACACAAGCTGGACTGGCCCAAAAGTGTCAGTTGAGTAACTATTCAAACTCTCTCATAAGAGGTTGTCCGACGAGCCAATGAACGCCCATAGTCAACAAATCCAAGCATCAAAGTCTATAAAACACCCGTCCGTCAGTGTTGATCCACCAAAGAGAGTCGTCTATCCCAGCGAAGAAAGCCATTAAACGAGCACGAAGGCAGCGGGCCAGACATAGGGTTTCGGCCCAAAAGCCAAAGCCCACCATCGCTACCAGCTTTCCCCGCAGTGGAGAGGCACGAAATTCAAACGGTTACAATGATTTGATGCGGACAGGGGGGACAAGTGCTCCAATCAGTTGCAGCCTCAGCCCGTCGTTGACGCATCAGCATCCTTCTCCGGCGAAGCTCGGTACATTCAATTGCACCCAGAGTCCAGAAAATTTGGCGATGCTCGCTCGTTGCCATAGTAACACCCCTTCCAACCCAACCACCCCACCTTGTTTTGGCACCCGCCAGGATTTCTGATGGCCAACGAAGGGAAAAAAACCTAGTTCCAAAGCCGGAAAGTCATTCACAATCGGCAATCCCCAACGAGCAACAAATCAAGCCCAAACTTTAGTAAATCATAGCATCCACCCCAGTCAAACCCCTGTGATGTCCAGACCCATTCCATGCAGTTATGGGCTTCCTTGACACCAACCCAACACTTATAGGATCGCACTACAACTAATCCAACCCAGCGCCCGGCCATGACAGCCCTCTATTGCAGACGCCGGAGACTTTCGTCCCTGACAAGTGAGGGATGCAAACAATGGGATGGCGACCATTTTGCAGAGCTCCAAATGCAAACCAGTCACTAATCCAGCCAACTCCTAACCTTGGAACCGATGAATGCACAGGGCATTAGCCCACACATGTGCTACTAGCCTAGGGATGAGGTTTTCACCAAGGTATTATCAAGGGAGGGTGGTACCAGAAAAGAACTTCGGAAACAAGTTCACTTCACCTCCCTAGACGGCGAAGACTGTCCACGATAGGTGGTGTCTGGAACCATTGAGGTCTACGCTGCCAAAGGTCGCCGGAGCAAACCACGACTACGCCAGATTAAGAAAAGAGAGGGAACGTGTTAGGGGATGAAGATCTGACTTACCTTCGTTATACCAGTCCACTATAGCATCGTAGCAGACTAGAGAAGACCAGCCACCATTGTCCACACCTTCAAGCCCCCCCCCCAATTCCCCGCCCTCACATGTTCACCATCGTAGATCGGGCCCCCACCCCGCAAGGCTTACCCATGGATACTAATGACGAGTTAAAGAAACCAGCACCCTCCAGTGAGCTTCTACCAGTAGACCCCTTGGGCCGAACTATGAACCAGAAGACCTGGGGAGAGACCTATAAACCAATGACCAATTTTTAAAAAAGGTTAAACAAAAACTGGCCAGAGTCAGGAGGGCTTCGGCGGTGGCCCGCCATAGACGGTGGCGTTGGATGCTGGGGGGCAATTAGGAAGAGCCTAGTGAGAGACACTCTCAACTCTGCAAGGAAATTCTATCTTGAAGGTTTTAGTGAGAAACATAGTGTTGCAACTCGAATTCCAAACATGAATATCCAGACTACTAAAATCTTCAAGATAGAATTTCCTTGCATGAGTAAAAATAACATCAACATTGAATGATTCATATGAATTTTTGGGATCCAATGAAGCACACAAAGAAAGGAGTTCCACTGATAATGATGCTCAACTGTAGTTTGACTGACAGACCTACACAACTACACAGAATCAGAGATAGATGTTGACACTTGGGTCCTGAAATGATCACAGACTCGGCCGTGGTTGAATGGCTTTATCAAATTCGATTGGTGCGAATTGCTACCTTGCGAAAATCCCAATGTCGACAGCAAAGGGTCATAGGCCGAAGACTTGGCCGCTTGATCCCAAATGCAGGCAGGGCTATTAGCCTATTACTTTTCTTCATTTTTATTGAATTTGGGCTAATGGGCTACCTAATTAATACTATTGCTTCTGTTTTTTGGAGTTTTTAGATTGGAAGATTTTGTTTTATGGGTTGGGTGAAAATTTGGATTGAGCTATAAAAAAATTGGAATGTGTTTGGACGTAAATTAAAAAAAACATCTTAAAAAAATTCTTTTTGACTTTGATTGATTTTATTTGGAGTGTGATTTACTGGTCTGGTATGTTCGAGCTGACCTATTTAAGCCTGATCTAAAATGGTCTAATCTGGTAAGTGGTAACATATGATCTTCATGTATGTTATAACTACCAAATTGCCCTAACATAGTAAGATAGATTATATGGTACCTTTAAGATATTATATCTTTGTCCACGTGGACCAATATCAATCTTGCAGTTGAATCAATTAAATCTAAATTAAAATGAATATAATGATTTGGACCAATCAAATGCTTCATTTCAATTAATTAATTAAATCTAAATTAAAAGGAATATAATAATTTAGACCAATCAAATGCACCATTTTTAAAAAAAGTATGGGAATTGTTACCATATACTAATTGCCCACGAACTTAAAAAGTAATACAAGAACGTGAGCTATTTTTCAATTTCAATTACGAAAGTAAACAAGAAATATTTGACCTTTTGTCAAATGAAAACATTTATACGAACTTACGAAGTACATTCAGTTACGGCGAAGAATTCAACCAACAACGAGGTTTGAAGTCTTAGCGCACGGCTAATTAAGAAAAAGGTCAAATTAATTACTCCTTATCTTTTTTATCTTCTTCCTTCTCATCTTATCGCACATGAATGCTTTCTCCAAGTGCTCCACCCTCTGCGTCAAAGCGTCGAGCATTATCATCTGAGTTTCATTCCTCTCAGACAGCTGTGTCATCAAATTCATCATCTTTCCATTCTCCTCCATAATCCTCTCCAGCAATTCTCTGTTTTTCTTGCTTTCATCTTCCCCATTGCTAGTCTCAACCACGTCCTTTCCGCCGCTCTGCTCCACTCCTCCACTCATAACTGCATCAAGGGGTGTGATTTCGGGAACAATCCCTCCCATCGGCTTCCCCTCACTGCAATCGTCGTCGAATTCAGATTTGGCATCATTTTCACGTGAATTAGGTTCATCAACTTGAATATCTTCAGGTTCAGTCACATGAATCCCATCAGGAATTTCTGATTTTTCAGCAGTGATACCAGTTTCGAGCACATTCTCCGACGAATTGTTGATAACTGTTGTTTGTTCAACGGATTCAGGTAGCTCCAAATCAGAAGAGTGACATACCTCGGAGGATTCCATGTCGACATTCTCTTCCTCGTTTACTGTTTGAATGTTGGAATTAACAATGGAGTCGATTCTCTCCTGTAAAGCTATGGCCTTTCTGGCGACGGACTTCCGGCAATCCCTAATTCCCGAATAAATCCCCCGAACAGAATCCAGTTTGAAGAGAAGAGACATCAGGTTCTCGTTCACGCGGATCCTCTCCCTCTCGTTGGTCCTCAACAGCTCCACGGTTTCACGCTGCGAAAGCTTCCGCTCGATTTCGTCCACCACTCGCTGAGCAGATATGATGCGATTCATGCTCCTCCTCACCAGAAACCCGCGAAAAGCTCTCTGGATCTTCAACGCCGAAGCGGATCGGGCGGAGTCGGAGCCGACGAATCGGACCGGGATCTGAACGACCTTCGGCTTCGGCGCAACCTCGACATGCTTGTTCTGAACCTCATGGACGGGGTAGCTACTCGCAGCCGGCGTATAGCCGTTGAGAGATGAATGGGGGAAGTAGTTTCCGAACGGGTTGTACGATCTCACCATTGATGAATTTCGCGTTTTAGTTTTTCGATTTCACTGTAATTCATTCATTGATTATTCTGCCAGATTTATCGATTTATAGAAATGTCAAATGTGTAGGGAGGAGGGTGGTGTTCGAAGAGGTCTCCCGAAGGTGCGGGAGAACAGAGGAAGGCCAGAGCGTTCTAGAATGTTGTAGTGCATTCTGATATTTAGCTTCCTCGTTTCTGGGTCTGTGTCATTATAAATGTGAATCATAATCTCTCATTTTCATTATACTTTACTAGTTTTCTAGATATTTTTATTACTTTCTTTACTAATTAAATTGTATTAAAAAACTAAGTAGAATGTGATTTTTATTATTTTTCTCCTATCTATTTGAATCTCAAGCACACCTTTTTTTGGAAGTAGGGGCTTAAATTGATATCACAACATTAACATTCAGAAAGGGAGTTAAACGATAAAAGGACCACAAACAACCGCCAGTCTTCGAATCAGACTTAGAGTCAATAACCTTCAAAAAGAAATATAACTCGCTGATCCTATAATTGACATAAATGAGTCAAAGACGGTTAAAGCAGACCTCCCATCATCCAATCCTAATGCAAGAGTCTTACAATAATAAAAATAATCAACAGAAAAATAAGTAGTCTGATCATGAAAAATAAATCGCAAGCCAACAGTAAAATTAAAAAGATGCTTCCAAACCCTAGACTCTCCTGCATTCCACGGTAAGGAGGGGGATGATCCAGCAGTACTGTAGCTCTATCCTCACCTTGCTTCTTCTTCATCATGTTCTTTATCAAGCCTCTTCTGTCGCCACCTAACACAGATGACTTTGAATCTAGATCTGTTCCAGCCTCTAGCCCCACACTTCGTCCATGATCTTTGGCTGACAAAGACCAAGCATCCATCTTCCGTTGCACAACCTTCGGCAGCCCGAGACCAAGCACCCTCTTCCCTTCGCTTAATCTCTCCGAAGCAAAAGAAGAAAAATTGCCGCACAATTGATGGCGGAAGAAACCCTATACGCCTAAGCTCGCCTACGGCGGCCGCTCCTTGTTAAAAAATACAGCAGAGGAAAAAACCCTAGCCGGGGGAACCCACCCTAGAGAGATAAAGAGCCGAAGCTTCAAAATTTAGGGTTTAAAAACGCACACCTTTTTTTTTTGTTGAAGAAACCATTTTTTATTTTCATTTTCTTATTTACACATAACTTAAAAATGTTAATATCTATGTTACACAAGTTACAAATAGCAGATCACATTATAAATATGGTGTAATTATAATTAGTTTAAGCTCTAAATGTACAATGTGAATAAAAAGAAGATCGCGTACAAATAGGCATTATTGTAAATAAAACTTTAAAAAATCCCCAAAAATGGGTTATATTGAATAAATTTTGGGGTTTTTTCTTAAATATTACCAATAAAAATGTCATTGACAAAAATGTGACTCAGTAACTATTAGTGATTATAATTGTATTTAATATTTACATCATAGTAACTTACAGTTAGTTACTACAATATAAATTTTAAACATAATTATAGTCACTACTAGTGATTATGTAATATTTTTGTCCATCACATTTTAAAGAGTTATATTTATGATTTTTTCATAAATTTTCTCAAGTAGGAGTACCATCGTTTTATTCTCAAAATATGGCTCATGCACTCCCATTTAGGTAGTTTTATTTGTTTATTCTTCCAATACAATCACATAGTCCTATGTTTGAAAAAGAAAATATATTTAGTCCTATTTTTGATTTTTTCTATGTTTTACTCTATTTTGAGCAATTTCTTAAAAAAGATTAACCTATGTATATAAAAGATTAAGCTGCCCCACGGCCCCCACTACAAGCCCCCCCACAGGCCCATCCTAGATTTTTTTTTGCAAGAAACAAAATTAATTAACATTAATTAAATCATTGTTCAAAGTAGATACAATAAAAGACAATGGTGAATAAAGCCAAGATCGCGAATCAGACAAAGAACAAGCTGCTTTGGCTAAAGCATGAGCAGTCTTATTCGCTGAACGCTTAATATGACAAAAAGTAATGTACGAAAAATGCTTCGCCATTTCTCGGACGTCGTCTCCTAGTAAACCAATCGAAGAACAGCTAGAACCGTGCACAATCTCTCCAATAGCTCGGGATACATCTGCCTCGACCTCCACCGAGGTCCACCCATATCCCTTAAGCCAGCTAAAGGCCTCTCGGATCCCAATTAATTCTGCATTCAGAGCGGTGTGATTCTCCCAGGCCACGGACAAGCAGCCCCCGCAATGAATCTGCCCCCATCATCCCGCACGCACCAGCCAAGACATCCTCCAGTCGCTCGGACCGCCACATCTACATTCAGCTTCAAAGAGCCTGCTGCCGGCCTGCACCAAGTGATGCGTGCTTGCACCTCCCGCTGCCCTTATTTAGGCGACTCCCTTGTGTTTGAGTCCAGCCCTGAACCTGCGCCAAAGAAGATTTCCCCTGCCAGACACGGTGATTTCGTTCCCTCCAAATAGCCCAACATCCCAACACCAGATTCTCCACGTCATCTTTTCTTCTATTACGAACTCCAAATTAATTTGCTCCATGAAAGATAACTCAGCCTCGCCAGATAACTCAGCCTCGCCAGACCAATGCCACTATTAAAGCATTTGTCCCACACCGGAGAGCTATAAAACAATTAAACACTATATCAGGCTTTGGGATACTCCTCCTATCAGGTTGACCTTTTAGGATGAAACCCCGGGTCTTAACATGGTATCAGAGCCAATTCCGATTGTGGTTTGTCGACTTGTTTAGCACCCATAATTAAGGGTAGCTTGCTAAGGGTTTGTTTAGCCCGTTTATACACCCCGATATTGTCCAGCCCGGTTTGGGCTAAGGGGGCGTGTTAAAGCATTTGTCCCACACCGGAAAGCTATAAAACAATTAAACACTATATAAGGCTTTGAGCTACTCTTCCTCTCAGGTCGACCTTTAGGATGAAACCCCGGGTCTTAACAGCCACGACAAATCTGCCCATGCTTCATAAGCGAATGAGCAATGCCGAAAGATATGCTCCAGTGACTCCCTAGCATCTCCGCACAGACTACACGATCCCGGACAGTCCACCCGACGACCCTGCAGGTTGTGTCTCGTCGGAAGGCTCCCGCTGCACACCTGCCAAAAAAATAATTTAATTTTGGGCGGTAACCGCCACCCCCACATAGCTGTCCAGTCCATCCCCCCTAAGTCTCCCACCTCCCCAACCAGTCTCCGATAGCAACTCTTTACCGAAAACTGACCACTCTCCTCCCATCTCCAACATAAAGAATCGGGAATCTGCCTACGGCTTAAAGGAATCCCTTTAATTAGTGCTGCATCTCGTGGTTCAAAAATATTATTGACCACGCCCAAGTCCCACTCCTGACACTCAGTTTCAAATAAATTAGCCACTACCGTTTTGCTCAACTCTTCACCAGTCACCAAAACCACCTTCGGGTTCCCCTTGTCCGGCAGCCAAGGTTCTTCCCAGATATTAACGGACTGACCATCACCCATCCTAGATATGCCCCCGAATATCCAACAAGACGAAAATAGTATGAAATTAGTAAAATATGATATCATGTTTAGTTCTATCTTCAATCTCTTAATCAATATAGTCAATCATTATAGGAAAATTCGTTGTGTACACGCCCGGTTAGACAGCGGTGTACACATAACAAAAAGCCTCCACCCCCTCTTTGTAACCGTATTAATCCCTCCCCTCCCTCCTTCCTTTCTTTTCTTTTTTTTCCTCTCCCTCACTGCGCCCAACTTCCTTCTCCCTCTTTTCCTCTTTTTTTTTTTTTCTTTTCTCTCCCTCCCTGCGCCCAACATTCTTCAGCCTCTTTTCCTCTTTCCTTCTCCCTTGTATATAACTCCTCTCTTTATCTCCCTTTCTCCATCTTTTTTCTTTTCTTTTCTTGTTTTCTTCATTTCAAAAGCTCTCACTTTTTTTGCAGATCTAAACCCGCACAGAAAAATAGGAGGAGTCACAACTTGAATCTACTTTGCTCTCTCAATTATTATTCATGAGGTAATACTTTATTTCATATTTTTTGTGCATTTAGGGTATATATGTTCCCTTTTTAATTTTGTATATCACATATGTTGTTATGATATGTTGTTATGATGTTGAATACTAATATGTAGTACTTATTATTACTAATTCAGGCTTTTTGCATGGCGAAGAATCCAAAGATGATGAGCCTCCGTGACAAAAGTCAAGAATGAAAAATTTATAGCAAAGGATAACTAAATATTTCATTTTTGTAATTATTTATATTGTATAGTTAATGTTCTTGTATTTATAACGACAAGATAAACATTATAAATTTATAGTTAATGTTCTTGTACAGTTAAGTGTTAGATAAACGTTGTTTGTACATGTAATAGTTGTCTGTCTTCCGGAAATAGTTGACTTTGTCTAGACAAGAGTTGTCTGTGCCCAGACAATACTTGTTTGTGCCCAGACAATACTTGTTTGTGCCCAGACAACACTTGTTTGTGATAATAGTTGTATATGCCCAAACAATATTTTTGTTTTCTTTTTATTATTCTACTCGGACAATATTATTTGTATCCTTACTATCTTAAATCACATTCCACAAAGTGCTCAAAGACATGAACAATAGTTGTGACTTGTGTGTGCCAAAAAGGAATATGTTAATGTGTTAAATGAAATCGTCTGTCTCTGAATTAGACATGAAGTGTCCGGCCACATGAAATACCAACTGAAAAAGTAATACTAATATGCTAAGTACAAATATTTGTGAACAAGATACGAAATGTCTGCCACAAACACATTGAAACGGGGATAATATTCTAAGTAGAATTATTTGTGAACAAGACATGAAATGTCTGGCCACAAACAATAGCCATTGTCTGTCTATCAACATTAATTGTGTCTGTCTGGCAGAATGACTTATCTATCTCATAGGATGAAATGTCTTTCATACAGACAGATAGATGGCTAATACAGACATTTCAATGGCTATTGTTCACAATAAATCATTTTCATAATATAAAAGATTCACTTCGAAAACATAAGTAACTCTAAATACACGATCGTTATAAATACAAGAGCATTAACTATACATATAAATAATTACAAAAATGAAATATTTAGTTATCCTTTGCTATAAATGAAACATTAACTTTACAATATTTAGTTACTCTAAATTCACTTCGCC